AATAATATATTGTGCATAATTATGTATTATAATAAAATATGTTTTAGAAGAATATACAACATAACATATATGCATATATATTGCGATTTTTTTGTGATTGCGATATGATTCACGATTATGACAATTATGATTTTTGCATCAAAAGTTTAATTTTCATTTGTTGTTGTCTGTGGCTCAGGAGGTAGAGCGGGTCATCCACTAATCAGTTGGTGGTTCGATTATTTAAAAAAAATTTATGTGTTGCAAAACTTTAAACAACACATATTAAAAATCCACACACATTTTAATGACCTCTTATGGCCACATTTTAGAAGTGATTTTAGTGCAATGAATAAATGAAAAATAAGTCTGACAATTGGAAATAAAACAATTTATTGATTTGTGATGCCACTTTTGGATATTTATATTGACAATTCACATTCATATAATATTTTTTTAGTGAAAATATCTTTAAATCAGTATATATTTCTGCCACACATTAAAGTCTGTATGCCACTCTCTGGCCACCCCAATGCTAAAAGGTTTGACATTTGACATTTATCAAACAATTGCATGCTTCTGTGATTTGGTTATTGGACTTAGCTTTACTGCAATTTTGATAATACTATAATTAATTGTGCAATCCTAATTAATATGAAAAAAAATCAAATTCATGACATTCTGACATATAGTAGTGAGTGCTTGAATGGTAGAGGTAAGCATCGAATACTTTTTGCAGCCTAAATCAGTTAAGAGGGTTATACGATTCTTGGAGGCCTCATCAAAGTGTCTGTGTACACACTTAATTCACTCATAGTTGCTGAGAAGTCAGAGGCATCAACTTTCAAAGAAAAAAAAATTGTTACTGATACACAAACAAGAAACTTCTTAGAAAATTAATAAATTAATCTTATCCTCGAGACATGAATAAGGTGTAACAAAAAGTGTCCTGAAGTGACGCTTCCACAGACATCATGTGGATAATGGAGTAATGGATTACAGTTGACTGACAGGAAGGTCTTTGTTCACATTTTCCAGTGTGTTTCTACATGCTAATTGCTAACACATAAAATGTTGAACTGACATATTAAAATATTCCCCTCTAGCCTTAGAGAAAACTCAGTTGACAGAAAAAGGAGAAAACTCATGAACTCAGCGGTGAACTCGGTTAGCATTCCTTTGAAAAGCCCCTTGAAAGCACTGTCATTTATATAGTATCCTCAATGCATCTAGTGAGGATTCCCTGAGAGGGCACTTTAAAGCAGCTATAATCCTTATTTTTATATCAGCAATGTATCAAACACCAATGTGAAAACAATATGAAAGGGGTCACCGGTTACAGTGATGAACTTACAGAGAATCATCACCAGAATCTGCAGCTCCCCTCTTCTTTACGGAGCTTTAGAGCGAGTTTTAGATTCAGCTTTCTGGCCCCCTAAGTTTACTGTACTGCACTCTCACTGCTCTCAGAGTCCTTTTCAGTCCCAACTGGCAGCTGCTTAGCACCAAACAGCAGACAGACACAGTTAGAGACTAGCTGGTGAGCACAGTGGAGCATTTGGCAGCTACAGAGACAGATATTTCCCTCAAGTTATCCACACACGATCAGAGCTGGCTGTGCCATGTTGAGAGCAGTGGCGCCCAACTAGTTCAAATTATTATTATTACCTTTCAAAGTGCAACCAAAGCCAGCTGTATGTGACATAGCCAGAAGTGACACATGCAAGCAGGGTGCCAACCACAGAGAAGCCAGGGGGAAGCTCCCCTATAGTTGGCACCACTTAATAAGAGATGAGCTCCCCTGAAAATATGATTTGTGAAATGATGGGGGGTTCTCCAATATATTGACAATATGCTATTTTTGCCATGCATTTCTATTTTTCTAGATCTAAATAATCATGAATCAGGTGTAAAATCAGGTTATTAATGAGTGACTGATTCACTCTAATAAAGATACTAGCATGCATGCTAACATTGCTATCACCGAGCATGGTGGTAAAATGTGATAAACTCACTTAAAAAAACTAACTTTGTTAGTCCCACTCAACCTGTGCTCTGAATTGCAGTTATTTATTTCTTTGGGTTTATTTTAAATTTGATTTACTCTTACCTTTATTAAGAATTCCCACTGAGATTAAACATCTCTTTTACAAGAAAGATAGAAGCCGTAAAAAATCATATTACCGTAAAATACAACATACACAATATAAAATAAATTGATCGTACATCAATCATCAGTCTGCCTGCAACTGTTGTTACCTGGAAACATGGCAAACTGCTCCCTTGCTCACTTTCTGATGGCATATAACTGCACTGCAACTGTCTGCACTACGCTCTGTGCCCTACCTCACGGTGAGATGAGAGCACATTTATTATCAGCGGTTGGCGGCTTCAGGAGCTGGTGGAGAGCACAGAGCATAGAGAGAGTAAATATTGAACCTACACTCACCAGTGGAGCTGCTCAGTGACAACAGATTAGACTGAGGTTGCACTGGGCGGCTTCCAGGTGTGAATGTGTGTATAACTGTGTGAGTGGAAACATTTCTTGCATAACTAAAAGACAATCCTGTAGAGTTTATTTTCTGAAGAACAAACTGTATGTCACCCAGAAATGTTCTCTTAAATCAGCAGTTCCCAATCTTTTTCCATAGGGGACCTCTTGTCTATCATTTAGTAAACTAAGTGACATATTCTATGGATATTTCATATTATATTCAATGCATAACAATAACAGCACAGAACAACTGATAAACTGTAAACAGTGAACACAATAACTGCAGGAAGTTGGTGTAAAACAAGCAATTTGGATGAATTTTGAGTTGAGTTTTCTGATTTTAAATAACTTTTTACACATTTTTTTGTCTTTTTTTATTTTCACATACTATCTAAACTATCTAAACTTAAAGAAAAAACAGTTTCATTGAGTTTTATTCACAGAAATGCTGAGATACAGGCCTCCTATAGCGACTAGTAGGGGGTCTTAAACATTAAAACTCTGAGATAATCATGTGTGCTGTGTGAATTAACATTTGCTAAGGGGGGCAGTGTCACACCTGTACTTCCAGAGCCAAAGGGGGGCGTCTATGTGTGCTTTTATATCAAATGATTTAGGACCATGTCTCACAACACAACACTTATTTTGAAGAACCAGCTCTGCTCCCAGCACATCTAAGAAGCAATGAAGGATACAACACAACACATATTATTGAGACAAGGCCAGAGATGCTATCGCCACATATGGTAATAAAAAACCAGAAGAAGAAGATGAAGCTGGGGCTGCAGAGGAGTCTGAGCAGGCAGCGAGACCAGCAGCATAATGATCAGAAACTTGACTGTCTTTATTGGACGTTATTGATAATGATTGGTCACACAAAGGCTTTGAATGAACTTATGTACTGTAAAGATGTGACATACACGTTCAGGTCAGCGTATTTCCAGTGCCTACAGTCTGGTCACATGGGATGTTAGCAGATTCTTCTCGAGTCACATTTAGGGTCATTCTGTTCAGTGTGACGCGCTGACAGACAATGCTGTAACGAGGCGATGGCGTTAACGGTTTAGTTGAGACTAATGTAAATTATATTATGTTACACTTACACAAACACATATCAATGATAATATAAACACCTCTCAATATAATGTGATACAGAAGCATAAATCACACCCTATATAAAGTCAATAAAGCAATTATAACCTTGATTAATGAATTAAGCCACATTATGGATTAAGGATTAAAGTTTAAATAGTGTTAATGGGCCTACTCCTCAGTTGTACCACGGTTGGCAGGGGGTGGATCTAGAGAAATATTCATGAGGTGGCATGGAAATATTTGCTTGGAAAAGCCCCTAAATGAAGATATTTTACCTCAAAAACATTAAATTATTGCTGCACATCAGTAAAGCATTGAACTTAAGCCTATCACTTAGTCTAAAACTGTGAAACAGTTCTGAGTAAATGAGCAATTAGCAGCTGAACAGTCAGTGAGATAATGCGGAAGTAGACCTGTGTTTTCAAGGTGACACATGCTGCTAGCTGACATTTTACTTAATTTGATTTGACGAAGATGAACATTTTTATTCACTTCTATCAATCCCTAATGGGGAAATTAATATTTCACTCAGTATTTTTACACACAGATAGGCACGTGATACAATCACACACACACACACACACACACACACACATACATACAGGGCTTTTAGATATGTAAATGTGGAGAGATGGCAGAGTAGCGGCACCTCAGGAGCAGTTAGGGCTTCATTGCTTAAGGGCACCTCGGCAGTGACCAGGAGCAGGAGTGGATGGCAGACATATATGCAGATTTAATCGCGACAAACTGAATTTTTGCTCTAAGGTTGTGGAAGGCTGCAGAGTGAAGCCCTCAAATTTAAATCTCCAGTCATGGTCCTTCCTTGGTGACCTTAGCTCGGATCATAGGACCCTTGATTATTATTTACCCTGATGTCACAGGACCAGTTGGTGCTTAGCATCAGCTGTGAGATCATTCGAAATTGATTTGCATGTTGATCAGATGCCTCTGTTGGGAAATTGTAGGGTTACTGTAACCATCCCAGATCTGTGTCTGAGGTTAACTACAGGGTTATAAAACAAATACAATTCACAACAAGCAGAATTCATGCAACCATCACAAATGAGCACAAGATGAATGAGGGATGCTTTTGGGGCCCCTGAACTACTGTAATCTTCACACATGACCTTCAGAGAAAAGTGCGCAATGAGGCTGCGCAGGGCTGGGTACGAGAACCGGTCCGACTCTCACTCACTCTCTCCATATTACCTAGAAACCCGCTTTCGGGAAATCGAGGAATTATCCACAGGTCATTTAATCATGGAAACTCGCGCATGCTTGACGAGGCACGGCATCGCCCGAGGGCCTCTCATCGGCTTTTAAAAACCAACAGGATTCCCCTGCAGAGACCACTGATCGAACAGCTCATCACGGGGCCCAAACGCAAGTGTATCCTGCAGCTTCTTTCATCGAAAGCAAACCAAGAGCCAGAATGGAGTTTCACTACGCCACAGAGATGAACGGAATCGTGCCCACGGTCACTAAGCTGAGCAAGTGCATTGAGTCTAAACACAGCGATTCGTATAAAGAAGAGAAAGACTCAAAGGAAGCTGCAGATTCGACCAAGTTGTTTTGCATAGAGAAAGCTTATAGCACCATCCTAAACGAGCTTGGAGAGAACACCGAACGCGAGGGTCTTTTACGCACACCGTTACGCGCAGCCAAAGCCATGCAGTTCTTCACAAAAGGCTACAAGGAGACGACCCAAGGTGAGTACGCACCCAGGATGAACATTTTACACGACAAATGCAGTAGTGGCAAGTGGCAAACAGTTTAGATGTTAATTCTGTAAATCTTCACATTTATTTTGGGCTTAGTGTCCTTGTTTATTGCTTTCCAAAGGGACACATTTGTCACTTTTGATTTTGATCATCATTTCCTACAGTAAGAAAGAATGTGTAACTGGTATTTCATCTCCACAGCGATCTTGAACGATGCAATCTTTAATGAAAACCACGATGAGATGGTGATCGTCAAGGACATCGATTTGTTCTCTCTTTGTGAACATCATCTGGTGCCATTCTTTGGAAAGGTAACTTACATACAGAGATATTCTGAGAGTCCTGAAAGAGTCATTATTCTTTATGCTATTCTCTTTGTTCTTACTGTATGCTTTGTTTCATTGTGTCAGGCTCACATAGCATACCTTCCAAACAAGAAAGTGGTTGGTCTGAGCAAGCTTGCCAGGTAAGTATTGGACAAAGACACACACACATACACACACCAGAAAAAACAAAACCCTTCACTTTATTGTTTTCTGCTCTTCCAGAATTGTTGAAATCTTCAGCAGGAGGCTCCAAGGTAAAATATGTCTGATTGGAATCTTTAATTTCCTCAGTATTTTCCTGTGTTACACTTAGTGTGTTTATTTTTCCCTCCACAGTTCAGGAGCGTCTAACCAAACAGATAGCGGCAGCCATCAGCGAGGCGTTGGAGCCTGCAGGAGTGGCAGTGGTGATTGAAGCTGCGTGAGTGCTTGCTCTGTTTGTAATGTATTTGCAACATATTTATACAGCACTTTTTAAAATGCACAGTTAAAAAATGCCTCACAAACAAACATATATATGTAGAAATATACACAAAAACATATAAATACTAACTTATGGATGAATAAAACAAGAGGAAAAGGATTTAAGAAAGGGAAGGAGATCTAGCTGCAGAAAACAGTCCAAAGATTCAGCAAATCTGAGTGCTTGGGGAAGATGATTCCAGAGGGTTGGGGCTAAAACAGCAAAGGCACGGTCCACTTTAGTGTTACAGTTGGACCATGGGATGGATAAAAGACCAAGATTTGAGAAGCGGAGCAGTCGAGGAATAGAATGAGGAACAAGGAGATCTGAGAAGTTATGAAGTGTTTTATATGTAATCAGCAGGATCTTGTAGTTGATTCTGAATTTTACAGGAAGCCAATGGAGGGATGTGAGAACAGGGGCTAATGTGGGACTAACTGTAAATGATTTAAGGAAGCTTGACTGAGGCACGTGTAGAGGGAAAGACAGTAATCTACACGGGAAAAAATGAAGGTGTGAATTAGTAGTTTGAGATCTGTCACATCCCACAGTTGGAGATGTGTGTGGTGGGTTTCTATAACGTTGGTTTTATGATACTGTATATGACAATTGAGATACAAACCTCCTGAATACGAGAGGATGTACTGTGGAACAGTCTCTGAGTCAAATACAGTTTGCATAAATGCTGCAGCACAAAGTTCTTCCGTGGGAATCATGTGCTTTGGACCTTTTTACGCTAAGCTAAACTGTCTCCTTGAATTTCAGTCACATGTGCATGGTGATGAGAGGTGTGCAGAAGATGAACGCCAAGACTGTAACAAGTGTCATGCTGGGAACGTTCCAAAACGATCACAAGACCCGGGAGGAGTTTCTTTCTCTGACACTGGGAAAATGAGAAGTTTTGATCTCGGCAGGCAGTTCTATAGAGGGAAATGTCCACCAACACTTTTGGATCTTCCTGTGTGTATCAGTTGTTTTTGTTGCTGTTTCATCTGTTCTCATTTGGAGTTGGTTCAGCTGATATCTTTTCTTGTAGCTATTATTAAATATCAAATACAAGGAATTCATCTAAAGAAGCCGTGGAGTAGTAATGCCTCAGGTACATTTCACAATGTAAATGTAAAGATTTGAAATCTTATTGATTGAAACACATACTTATTTCAGAATGTCGTATTGGGTGCTAAAATACATTTTACAAACAACATAATCCTGTACTGTGTGCTATATGATGCTATATGATGCTATATGGTGCTATATGGCGCTATATGGTGCTATATGATGCTATATGATGCTATATGGTGCTATGTCTCTTCACAATGTATTCTGTGAAAATGTTTTGATACAGCACTGTGAAATATTTATTTACCTGTACAGTAAAAATGTACAAATCAATAAAACTGATACTATTGCTGCCTTTAACTTTGCCATTACTTTGTTTTCTGGTTAGTCTTTCAGGGTCGGTGGTCATAAATTACTCACCAGACCAGTCCTACATATTTAAGAACATAGTGCACCAAGAGGAAGTTTTTGACTACTACTAATAATAATAATAATAATAATAATAACTAGAACGTGTATACTGTATACTGTATACTGTTAATCCTCTGCATCCACTGTTAATCCTCTGCAGGGGCGAGAGCTGGAGTTTACTCTTGACAGGTTGCCAGTTCATCACAGGTTTGACACACACACACACACAGATACGGCCAACTGTTCTCACTCACATTCACCTGCAGTCACCAGTTAATCTGCCCTTCTTTGGACTGTGGGAGGAAGCTGCAGCACATCCAAACCACACAGTTACCAATCATTCTTTCCAATACATATCTTGTATTTTAAAATGTATCAGACCAAATACAAGTATTTACATTTCAATTCAATTCAATTCATAACAGAAGTTATCCCAAACATTTCAATAATGCAGGTCTAGACCGAAACTCCTTAAAACATTACAGAGCCCAACATCCCAACCATGAGCAAACTTGCGACGGGCAAGGAAACTGCTTTTAACAGGCAAAACTAGGACAGACCTTCGGCTCTAGTGTGGTGTCATCGTCCTCGACCAGTTGGGGTGGAGAGAGAGAAAGAGAGAGAGAAGCAAGAGGTAAACGACAAAAGCAAAGAAAAAAAGAGACAGAGACAAAGGTGCCAGCAACAACTACACTAATCAGTAGGGACTCGATGGTGCACATGAATGATGAACATCAGAGATATGAGACTTACACCCACCAACGATGGGGACAGACAGATCTATAATCCCATAAAGTAAAAATCTGTAGTAATGAATAATAGTTACTAACAAATAACAATGCTTCACAACATTAGCAATGTCCAGTCAAGCAGGACCATGGCAGATGCTCACAACCAGACATCCATGAACCTGCTTAGCACAGACACAGCACAAGAACTCCGGGGATACGAAAAGTTATTAACATTGCATTAATCGGGACATTGTTCCAGAAAAAGAGATTTTTTGTGGGGAATTTGGGTCCTTGCTGAACAACGAAGCATAGAGTATTTAAAATACCGTTACAGTAACGATACTACACACTTCATTTTCATCCCACCTCATTGTAATATAACACTTTAAAAGCTGTTGAAAATCATCCTCCAAACTGCATGCTTCTCCCCACCTACCTGCCAGCTCAAGAAAGTTACATCAGTGTTCCCAACATACGGGGGACCCCGACACGGCGGCCCAACGCTTCCAGGGGTCATTTATTGAATTTAGGTTAAAAAAACATACATATAATACACTGTAGGCCTATATCTCAGCATTTTTAATCATTTCCGTTGAAATCGAAAAAAAAAAAAAAACTAAATGAAATATTCCATTGACTCTCTGATAAA